CGAGTCCCAGAGTGCCGGCAAGCACCGGCTGCTGCTGCTTTGCAGGGCAAAAAGTGTTTCTGCTAAAACCCCATGGCCACCATCCCTGTCTCCGTGTGACGCTGGAGGCTCCTGTCTCCAGCTGCCTGCACAGCAGAGAGCTCCCAGCATCCCTACCTGGGGACCACACCTGTCCCCCGACACCCCTGCGACCCCCTTTCCTGCCGTGCCAGGGCACATCTGGCCACGGGCACATCTGCTTGCCTGCCCCAGCTCCTCGTAGCCACCCCCAGAGGTGACCAAGCGTGGTGGGAGCAGGACGGGGAGGGAGGACCCAGCTGCGGGTGTGCTGCTGTCCCACAGGGACCGGGGTCACCGGCTCCTTCTGCACTACTTCCCTGCCTGGCCGCGGCTGATCTCGCCTTTGTCTTCTCAGAGCGTGGAAGCTTCTAATTAAAACTTGCAGCCCGCTCCCAGTTCATTTGTCTCATTAAGGGGGGTGCCACCTCATCTCTGGGGTGCCACGTCCTTCTCCCAGCTGCAGAGATGCACCCCCAGCATGCCCTGTCCTTCTCCTGGCCCCATAGATGCACCCCTGGGGTGCTCCATCCTTCTCTCAGTGACAAGGATGGGTTCTGGGTGCTTCCCATGGTGTGCCCTATCCTATCCTATCCTATCCTATCCTATCCTATCCTATCCTATCCTATCCTATCCCATCCCATCCCATCCCATCCCATCCCATCCCATCCCATCCCATCCCATCCTATCCTATCCTATCCTATCCTATAGGATCCTTCCCTACCCTACCCTACCCTACTCTTTTTTCCCTGATTCTTCCCCTCAGTGCTTTCGGAAGGACCAAAAATGAGCAGCCTCCAGGTCTGTCTTTTTTCTTACCCCGGGGCAGTCTGCTGCGCTCGTGCACTTTTTATGGTAGCTCCATCCAATCTCTATTTATCGGGCTCAAAGCTGTCTGGACACTTCACCGAGGTCAGGCTATGGAAGCCCATGATGAGAGGAGTGGCATGAGGCTCCATCTGCATTTCCCAGCATGATTAAATTCAGGGATCTGTGACCTTCATCTGAAAAGACAGCTGCTTTCCTCTACATCTGTGCTGTGGTGGCTAGCAAATACTCGTCCTGCCCTTGCTGCTGGTTGCAGTAGCTCTTTCATTAGGAGACCTCTCCTCATCTACAACCCTCAGCTTGGCAACTCTCAAAGCACGATGTAAAGTTTGTTTGATTAGACTTTTGGCAAATTGATAGAGGGATTTTGGATTACAGGAAAAATACTGATAACTAGCTTGCACGCTGTCCCTCTAGTGCTCTGCTAATGACTTTGTGGAATTCCCATCTCTCCAGTGTCTCGCATTTGGGTTGTCTTAAATCATTAAAAAGAAAAAAAAAAAAAAAAAAAAAAAAAAAAAAGAGCTCAGGCTCTCCACGCTCCTGCCAAGTAGGTCAGGGTTTTCCCAGTTGTACAGTTTGGGAAACGGAGACATTATTCAGAGCGACTTTCTCCAAGTTGTTTGGTGAGATGAAGACAACTGGAAGCACAATAGTGGTTTCAAGCATTAGTTCAGGACTAGTCTTCAAGTGATAATAAGTCATTTGGCCTAATCAGAGCCCAATTAAAATAAATCTTGGCAAAACCTGGAAAAATAAATGGTGCGTTCCTGAATTCTGCAATGGAGGAGAAGCTGCAGGATCCCGAGACGTGGTCCAGAAGAAGGGTGGGCAATTGGTGCTGCACAAAATGAGACAGACATACCTCCTTACGTTTTGAGCTATTGAAAATGCCGCCTGATGCTTCCCATGGGAGGAAATAAGCCAAAAAGCTGTGATGGTTGTGCTGCCACTGTGGGCTAAGGGATTTTTTTGCCCGATCAAAGTGGAAAAAGCAGCAAGGCAGGAGCATCACCGTGGTGTCTGTATGATATCAAACTTCAGGCTCAGAAGAGTTTGGCTGCTAATAAGCTGCTCTTTACAGCGTTAGCTCATGGGATTGTGGTGTGTGGATAATCATCGAATAGCTTGGGGTGGGAAGGACCTTTGAAGATCATCCAGTCCAACCACCCTGCCATGGGCAGGGACGTCTTCAACCAGAAGAGCTCAGAGCCCCGTCCAACCTGGCCTTGAATGTTTCCAGGGATGGGGCATCGACCACCTCTCTGGGCAACCTGGGCTGGTGTTTCCTCACCCTCATCGTAAAAAATTTCTTCTTTAGATCTCATCTGAATCTTCCCTTTTTTTAGTTTAAAACTGTTACCCCTTGCCCTACGGCTATAACCCCTACTAAAATAATGATTAAAGAGGCTTGAATTTAGAAGGAGGAGGCAGTCGATTTGAGCGACAGCGGGTTGGTGGTCAATGTTCAGTCCGTGGGGACAGTGTGGGGGTGAGGGAGGGTGGAGGGATCTCCTTGAGTGGGAAGGGGAGAGAAGAAAGCCGTGGGTTTTAAAGAGAAGCAGCCCAGCCATGGTGTCGAACCCAGGCTAGTATCGACACCCCAGCAGGCCTCTGGCTTGAAAGAATAAAAGAGCCTCTTTCAGCAGTCCTAAAGCAATCAGGAGAAAATAACTCATTTATGAAATGGGTGCTTCTAGCTGGGAGAATCATTACACTCAGAATCCCTCCTCCATTGTCATTTTACTTTAATATTAAACTACTCAGGATAAATTGTTACCCAGGAAATTTTTTAGGCGGAAGGTGACATCGGGGAGAAGAACATGGAGCATTAAAAATGGATTATACGGTGTCATTTCTTGACTACTTGCCCGAGATATTAAATATGTAGGATTTAAAGCCCAGATCTTGTGTTGATTACACCACGGCTCTGAGGCTGTTTAGGTCTTCTCCATACTGCTTCTGCTTGGGCAAAATGGGGTTTTACCTTGTCCTGATTTAAGCTTCTGGCTTGGCAGAAGGACCTCTTGTGTCAGGTTTCTTTTTTCTCTTCCTTTTATAATCGGAGCCTATTCTTCATCCCCTTTGCATGCCATCTGCTGCAGCTGCGAGTTCAAAACTTATATACGCTGAGGTCAGGCTTCCCTTTTTTATTTAATTTCCTTTTTTTTTTTTTTTTTCTGAAATGAAGGGGGATCTGAGGCAGGTCCTGTTAAAGCATCAGGATTAGGGCTCTGTAAGCATATGGGAAATAACTCGCGTGGCTGCTGGGCGGTCTCCTCCTGTTTATAATTACTCTGTTCAGGTTCTTGTAGCAGACGTATTGTGAACGGGCTCTGAAGTGGGTAGATGGCAAACTTTCGGGAAAAAAAAAAAAAAAGCAACCCCTTGTTTCCTGTCTAAGCGTCATGTATTTAGGAGCCCAACTAATTAAGCTCTTCTGAAAGAGCCGTCTGGCTCCAGCAAACAGCTTCTCTGTGGTTCTTTCTATTGCAAAACCCTGGGGGAGGCTGGATTGGGAGGGCAGTGCCATCACCCACATGGCTTCGGAGGGGAGGGCTCTCTGCCAGGCCCTCTGGAGATAGCCTGCCCACTCGCTCTCCTCGGGGAGACATGCGACGACTCGCTTTCGCAGCCTCTCTGCAGAGCACCCCAAATTAGACCCTTTAGGTGGATGCGTCGTCATCCGAAAGGAAGAAGAAAGTCGCCCTGAAGACTCGTCTCCTGAGCAGCCCGGAGGGATGCTGTGAGATGGCAGATGAGGGGATGACGGGACTTCTCTGTGGAAGGAGGTGGGCATCAGGCTTATAGATACAACAGCCTTACGGCGCTGGTGGCACTAATAGCAGGTTTGAAATGAATGCCTTTTGTGAATGTGACTTTCTTTTGCTTCACCTGGCTCAGTCACGCTTCTGGATGCAAAAATATAGATAATAAAATATCCCATTGAAACTTGTCTTCTCTTGGTTTTGTGCTCTCCCAAAGGCTACCTGGTGCCATGCTGCTCGTAGCAAGACCAGGCTGTAATTCACGAGCTTCCCTCTTTGAAGCTGTCAACAGCCGAGCTGTAAAGCCTTGGGGAGAGCGGGGTTGATGAAGGGAGGGGACATCCAGAGTCTCTTTTCCTGGGCAGATGGAGATCTGTCAGCAGTTTTGACAGCGGAGGCTGATGGGTTTCTGGACTGAGCTTCACTGCCGTGCTTAAACTCTTGCGGAGCAAAAGTTGCCTGCTGTTGCTGATTATCTGGTTTCCACGGGGTTTTTTTTTGTATTTTGATTAGGTTCACAGTTTGGGGTTTTGTGCTTAAAGTGAAGTAACAGGATGTCAAATACTCCCTCGTACGCCTTGCTCCCCATTAAACGCTTGCGCTCACGTGGCCAGCTCCTGTACACAACAACTCTCGGTGGCAGACGCAGGCTCAAGAGGTGGTTAAGGACTATTGAGAGCAAGCGTTCGCTGGCGAGGGGGGACAGCTTTGCCCTTTATTGCTCTTTTCCACCCTCCCTTGCTATGACGGCGTGGAAACACTCAAAAGGGCTTGGAGAAACACTGCCGGCTCTGTTCCCATCCCGGGCCGGCGGATGCGGTCAGGGGCCATGGTCTGTGCGAGCGCGAGCACACGGGACGGTGCTGGAGGCATTGCACCGCGGAAGCCCATCACACGTGATCTTCTGAAAAGGGCTATACAGCTCTGGCCAGCTATTGTATTGCAGCCTGCGACGTCGAGAGCTGCCCCAGGTCCTCCCCGGCATTGCTAAATCGGCTCTATCCTAATTTATTCTAATTAGGTGAGCTTTCATCTCGTATCCAAGCTTTTTCACTACGAGGCTGAGTGTGTGTGTCACTGTCTGGGACGTGGCATCCTTTGCTTCGGATAGAAATGTTTTCTCGGGGAGCTGCTCCGCTGCAAGACCAGGGGAATGAGGGTTTTTGTGCTCTAATTTCAGAGTCGATGGTTCTTTGTACTCTAATCAAGAGGTTTTGATGCCATAATTAAAAACATGGACTTAATGGGTCTTCTGCGGAATGTAAATTCTCAGGAAAAATACAAGCTAAACTTTTGAGACCAAAGCACTTTTGTGCTCACTTAGCCTATTGTAATTAGGGGTGTGGTGCTTAAGGAATATTAATTAGCCCCATGGGTGAGGCTGGGGAGCCAGAAAAATGCTGCCTCCGCCCCTATTCCCCAGTGGGAGTTTTTAGGAGCTGCCTGCTGAGCTAAGCACGGGAGACAGCAAGCGGCAGGGAGCAAAGTTTCTTGGGGGAGGAAGGGTATCCCCCAACCTCCTCCTTTAAAAACAAACAAACAAACAAAAATAAACCAAACCACTTTCAGGCGTTGGGTGCAACTTTCTTTGGTAGCTGGTTTCGCCAACTGAGTTTAATTCGCCTCCATCATCTCCCTGGGGTAGTGGTTGCCGCTTTAATTGCGATAGCAAATTTAAGAAGACTTGTAGCAAATGTTGAAGGAGGGGGCTGGTTCAGCTGAGCGCAGGGATTGGCATCTACAGGTGGGCAAGTGTCCTCACAGAGCATTTGCTCGGCCGCCAGACGGCTTGCCGAACGTGAGATTCGGTGCCTGGGAGGACGCCGATTCCATCCACGACACACAGGACTCCTGAGGACATGCCGCAAGGCACCTCGCTATCCCTAGAATCTCTAAATTATAGCTAAATTACCCTACTATTCCCTGGGAATCCTGTAAGACTCCTTCTGGACGGATAATGAGGCAGGAACTGATTGGTTAACGAGTAGTTGCTTGGGCACAGGTGATGGAGAGCTGCTCAGGTATTTGGTGAACAAACCCAAGTGGCAGGAGGTTTGTTTTCAGTGGGGTCACCACGAACAGAAAAAGGGGTTTAAAGCTTTGAAAGAGAAGACTGCAACAGCTAAAAGCTGTCTGATGTAGAAGGAAAAACAGCCGTAGTAATTACAGCAGTAAATGTAGTGATCAGGAAGCAGGGAAAAATGATAGGGCAGGATTATCAATTAGATACTGACTCAAGAGATCAGAATGGCAGAGGGAGAAATTAGTGCTGAGAAACCAGCTTTGTGGCTAGCCAGCATGTGCAAAGCTTGTTCTTCACCGCAGTACTGGCCTGTGATTTGATGCAAGGGATATCCTTGTTGGTAATGCAGAAAATGCAGACGAGCTCAGCCTCCTCCTAATGTGATTTAACCTAGTGTTGTTTGAAAAATGGAGGCAGAGGGTAAAAATTAGGTGCATTTAAAAAAAAAAATAAACAAATCATTTATGGTAAATAAAATCATAGAATAGCCCAGGTTGGAAAGGACCTCGACATAACAACCTGTTGTGGGACCAGATAACCGTAGGAATAGCTCCTCAGATCTTCATTTTTCAGTGAGTCTTGGAAATTGAGGAAAGCAGAAGATCTGGTTAAAAGCTAATATCGTGTCAAGGTATTAAAAAGGGAAAGAGAAAGATCCAGGTAACTGTCCTGGCAAGCAGGTGTTTGGGGGAAAAACAATGTATTTGGCTGGTAGAAAACCATTAATGAAGATTTAATGGCACTGTGGGGTCCATAACCATGAGCACATGGATTGGGGGTCAAGTTGAGCGCCGATCCTGGCAGCTCCAGGAAAGTTGATCCGCAGTTGTTTTAATTCTGGGAAGATTGAAGGCAAATGGTAAATAATCAAGGGAACAAACTGGACCCGGATTATGTGGTAAACTGCTGCTGGTGGTGGCAGGACCTGGAGAAGCCCTCGGTTGTCCGATGTCCATGGTGCTCTGGTCTGGGTTTGGTTTTTTTTTTTGAGATTAGAATTGAGACTATTCTTTTTCTGAGAATATCGAGACTAGAATATCTGAACTAGAAACTGGGCTCTGATTCTTGGATGGAGGTCAGATATTTGTCACAAACAAATTGTAAAAGGGAAGAAATCCTTTCCTAGAAAAGCCCTTTAAACAGCAGTGAAGTTAAAACTAGTTCATGGAAGTCCGAGGGCTTACGCTATCCAAAAGGTCAGACTAAGAGATAAGTTTTCAGTTTTCAGTTGTGGCACATGAGATGACTTTTTTTTTTTTTTTTTTAATATTCATTTCACTGGCAGCTGCTAGCTGTTTTCCTCTGAGATCTGGTTAACCCAGTTTCTCCTCCTGCAGTGTCTGCAGTAATGAGATAGATCTCAGCCTGGTACCGGGCGCATCCCGGTGACATGCGGTGTTGTGCCTTCGTTATAGGACCAGTGACAAATGATGGAAGGGAACCGAGGGACATGAGACATACCTGCCGCTGCCACCGTGTCCCTCCCTGCTAAATTTGGCTGCAGCTTCTCCTTGCATGAGAGCGGCTGCGGTGCACAGCTTGAGCCTGGAGCTCTGCCGTGCTCGGTGCTGCACGTAGTGGCTTTAGTCTGTTTAGACAACTGGGGGAGTTTCACTGAGGGCAAATGCCGGGGGCTGCCTTTGGGCCACAACAACCCCCAGGGGGGCTCCAGGCCTGGGGAGGAGTGGCTGGAGAGCTGCCGGTCAGAGAGGGACTGGGGGGTGAGAATGAGCCAGAGTGTGCCCAGGGGGCCAAGGAGGGCAACGGCATCCTGGCTGGTGTCAGCACTGGCGTGGCCAGCAGGGACAGGGAAGGGATCTGAGCCCTGGGCTCGGC